GCACTTGAGATCTTGCTTCCTGGTAATTGTTGTCAGTTTGGGGTCAAATAAACTCTTATTAAAGTTATTTACAGTTTGGGACACTCTTATATCAACATCAGACCTCTAAATTCCAAAGAGAAGCCCCTGAAGCACCAGAGCTAGACGGGTGAGTCCCATAAGCTCTGTGAAGAGAAGGACCTTGTTTATCATTGACCCGGTATCTGTAGCACACAGCCTAGGACAAACATTCCTGTAAATGGATGGGTGAATGGGTGGTGCACCCGTCAGAAAACATAGGAGCTGGAAGCATGAGCTGGAAGCATGAGCCAACCAGCGCTTCCCCTAGGGTTGATCTTTCTGCCCTGGTATCAACAAAGGAGCAATAAAGGGGTTAGAGCTCTAGGGAAGTAGATAAGCAACTAGCTACCTTCCCCACCCCCATTAGCCTTAGTGACACTGCCCCTTCTTTCCTGTTTCCTTTCCTCCTGGTATCTAATCGGCCTGTCCCAGGACCACTGTAGCACCTGGAGCACTTCTCCACAGCATCTCCCAGGGCTGACTGAAGGAAGAAAGCCTTAGTCAGGCCTGAACACAGGCAAACAATGTGTCTAGTTGTGAAAGCTTAAGAAACCCTCCAGAGCCTGCCTTCCATTTCTTTTGTGTCTCTCTCTGCCCATTACTTCTAAGGACTGTACTGCTTGCCCCCAGGACAAGTGTTATTATCGGACTAAATGCCTTTCATGCATTTGGTCAGGTGGTAAATGGTCTAGCACACTCCATTTTGTGTAGCCAGTAGGAATACGTTTTAGTATCCTTGTCAGTGTGTAAAAGTTTATTCTTCATGAAGTTATTTACAACCCACCACATATTCCTAAGACTGAAATCTCAATATCAATACACTTTAATTGTGACAGTTTCATTACAACCCCAGACTCTTTCTTCTAAGACATAGAAATTCTTCAGGGATTACAAATACCAATACTAAGCCAAATTCTCACCTTATAGAAGCACAGACAGTATATAATCAGGTCACAATTATTTAGCATTTTAATGATTTGGTTCTGGAGCTTAAGAGAATGCTAAAAGAGTATGTATTCTTTCTATGGAACATTTTGGATCTTTAGCCCAATTCTCTTGAACTCTTTAGAACCTCATTCCAAGTAGCCTTCATACTCAAAAGTGGAGGTATACCATATTGATTTTTAAAAATTTCACAGCTTAAGAATATTATTGGATAAGTTTAGATAAATGTTTATACTTGAGCAAACAACATCCTAAAAAAATTAAGATACAGAATATTGCTAATAATTAGAAAGTGCCATCATGTTCCTTTCCAGTTTCTTCTTCTCCCCCAGGCAACCACTCTTCTGATTTCTATCTCTATAGATTAGTTTTGTCTGTTCTTGAATTTCACATAAATAAAATCATGCAACATGTTGTCTTTTGTGACGACTTCTTTTGCTCAATTTCAGAGTTACGCAAATTGTTTTGAATATCAATAGTAGTTCCTTTTAATTGCTGAATAGTATTCCATTGTATGAATTTACCACAGTGTGTCCACTGTTATCACAGGAGCTGGTTGGTGGAAACTGAGGGTGAGTGACTAAAATGAAATATAGCAATGCCTGTCCAAATCTGCAATCCACACTTGGCTTTTGCTAATGATTATACTCAGAGCTAAATCTGATTTTTAATCCTTCAGTCCTCAAAGGGATGAAAAAGAGAGGATGGGGAAAGTAGGAATCACTTGGAAGTTTTAATCTGAGAAGAAAGCATAAGGAGTAAGACACAAGATGAGTTAGGGAAGATAAGAACCAAGTTCCGCTCTCTATCCAAGCTCTTGTCAGGATTGTGAAAAGACTGAATTAACTGCAGGTCACACCCTCCCTCAGTGTTATCTTCCTCTTATTTCTCCTAGCTGTTTTGAACACTAGTTAAAAATTCTTTTTCTTTGTAGACAACCTAAAAGCTTTTACTTACTCAAGTAGACTTTGCTTAACTTGAGTGTTCTGAAAGATAACTCTAGTTGCAATTAGTATGGCAGTGAAGGCAGTGGTGTATAAAAAGAAAGTATTTTGAGTCCCTTTCCTTAAATCATGTGAAAAGAAGCATACACCAAAAATGCATGAAGGAAAGTTGAAGGAAATGATGCAACTTATTATGATTTCTTATTATCGAGAACTTAAGATGACCACAGGAAAGTAATACTCTAATAGATCTTATAAACATTTTTTTGGGTTATTTGTGATTCCTCCCTCGAGATGTTTGCAACTTATTTAGAAAAAACAGACATATCTAGTTTGATCTAATTAGTTGGGAAACCAGAGACCAATCTAGTTTGATCAAAGTAGTTAGGTGTCCTCAGGAAACAACACCATTCCAGCTGAGTATGAAACAAGCAATATTAAAAAAGAATAACTCAACATTATACAGAGATTATAGAAACTCATTGCAAATACTGATTCCTAGTTAGAGATTAATTTTTGAGCCAGTGACTATAAGATCAAATGTCTGTTTTACACTTAGAATATTTTTATATGCCACTCAAGTATTATCCCTTGCTTCTCAACTGAAAATGGGATTGCTAATATTTAGAATTACTTAAACTTCAAGTCTTCATTTCATAGGATTTCCCCAGTAGAGCCTATCATCTTTCTAAAGTTGCTATTTCAGAGCAGTAGTTCCCAAACAGAACTACATTTGTAGTTGCCTAGAAAACACCAAAGGTCTCAGGGATGTACTGAATGGAGGCATAAAGAGACAAAATCATCCAAGCAAGTACAGTGTAGGTTAGAGGTACTATAAGAGTATTGCCTTGGGCACAACTTAATGTAGGCCATATTGAGGCAGGAACTAATCCAATTTGAAAAGAAAGAAAGTTAAAGTCTTTATAAAAATACTTTTTATATTGGGGTTCAATTAGAAATGGCTGTAAATCATAATCGAAGTGCTTATATTACTAAAATAGAATCCAGTATCTAATTAACATGAATACAAAATTCTTACTTCTATACATTTTTTAATATCTATTGGGTTTTCAGAAAAGTCATGATGTATTTTTTCTGTTTTTCGTTGCAAAAATGCCTCATGACTTTTCTGACAACCCAATATTATCACTGGATCAACTTTTATTAAAGAACTAAATTTATCTACTTATAAATAGACTAAGAAGCAAGAACAAGCATTTGTCTTCTATAAGATTTTTATTTGTTGTATAAAACTATATTCACATTTAATGTTGGAAATGAAGTATTATTCAATGTCATTTTGTAACTTTCTTAAATATTTATGAGCCAATGGTATTTTTTACAAGGATGTGTCAAGTATTGCTCAAGTTGTTTTATTCCCCTTGAAAGAAAAAAATCTACTTTTTAATCAAAACGATGTTTATTTTAATATAAACATATATTGGGTTGTCGGAAAAGTCATGACACATTTTTGCAACAAAAAACAGAAAAAATACGTCATAACTTTTCCGACAACCCAATAGTTACTGAGGTTTTTTTCATCCTCAATTTTCAGGATATACTGAATTAAAACCAGATATTCAAGTTGGGATACCAAGGATTCCTTCCTCTCAGCCATTGTTTCTTGACCAGAATAAGGGCTCTGCTACACATCTGCTTAGGAAAACCACAGTCCCTGACTGTCCAGCTTTCTTGGAATGAAATGCACTGTCCACAGTTTTCAGGAAGAAAGCACATCTAATCATTAGATAATGTGCTCACAGGTGGGCAAGCGAATGCTGTCCTCCCCATCAGTAATGAGCTCCTCATTCCCCACCAAGGTTAGTTGACTTACCTCATCTTCCCCACGTCATGTGAGTCACCACGGTGCTTATAAAGATAAGTCCTAGAGTACAAACATATTATCTCCCACAGAAACACAAAATGGACTTGCTTTTCCATTATGCTTGATTCTGTAATGAAAGCTCTAGGAAGTGAGTATAACATGAACTCATTCCTTCCGCTCCAGCAGACAGATGGAGAGACATTCCAGTTTGTTTCCAGTCTTTTGTCTTTGGAGCATTTTTGGCATTTCCTTCAGGAAACTGGAGGTTGTGACCTAAAGTTTCCTTAGTGAATGCACTTCTGTTTTCCCACAGTTAACCTTACCCAGAGATGACATCTACTCTGTTAGGTGAGGTTTATCTTCATGTCCCAACTGTGTCCTGGTGCATGTTCAATGACACTGGAATGCACAAATTCTGAAAGTAACAATAGCACTGGAGAGCCAAACACACCAACACACTTCAATTTAATCCCCAAATGAAGATGACAATAAAATCAAAATAAGCATTAATTATTACAATAATTCTGTGGTGCATGCAAAGCACCCTTGCTCTCATTTGATAATTAGAGAAATCAATGGCTAGGGATGTTAAAGCTTTCAGATACTATGAACTGAAAGTTTTCAGATAAAAATTGTATGCAACTCAGCCTACATTCTACAACTTGTTACTTCATTGATATTGCATTGTTCCATATTATTCAGAGAGTAGACTGAGAGAAACTAAGACAGTGTCCTACAAATATTAAGCAATTTGATATTATCTCCCACATCCATATGCCCACTTATCCAGCATGTTGGAGGTAAGCCAAGAATGTAAGCTTTTGTTGATGAGTTTGAACTGACTATTGAGTTTCATAATTTAAATTAGATTGAAAATCACATTGTTCTGTGTTATTTCTTTAAAAACCCATGTTTTAGGACAGAATTATTGTACTTAAGTTAGTTTGGCTTGAGTGCAACTTAAAATGTAAACAATTACATTTTCTTGTCAGGGTGGTATTTAGAGATTGGTGGTTTTCATCTCATTCTTGACTAATGTTCGATGTAAGTTTCTCTTCCTGAAAAAGAGTGGTTTCTAAACAAACCACATTTTTTTCACACCCTAGTTTAGCAAGGTAAAAGTCTTTAAACAATAACAGACATTTGCCCTTAACTTTTATTCTAAAGAGCCACACAGTCAAATAAATGTCTTGATAGTTACTTTTTAAATGCTCTTCACAAAGGAATCTTTAAAAAAAATCAGTTTATTAATGTTTAAAAGTTGATAAAGCTATGTGCAAAATGATCCACAAAAGTCAGAAACCTATTAAATACTATTTTTTTAAAGACATTTCTTGGTTTAATTGCACTGAAAACCATACTAAAGAGACAGCAATACATTTTTATTCTTTGTAACATTTATACACATCTTCAATTAACTATTTAATAAACAGCTGTACTGGTGTTCCCTATCAGTTAAAGTAATGCTTTAAGGGCACATGTGGGTGATACTTTAAGAAATACACATTCAATGGTGTTAACACAGGTTAGAAAAATCCAATAAAATGCTGAAACAAATACATTCAAAAACCATGAAAAGTACTTTTGACACAACAAAATACAACCATTCTGTTGGTTGAAATGAGTCACACAACACTCTGAAATAAACATCAACAAAAGTGCCAAAGACAGATGTTGTATTTGTTAGACAAAATTGTTAGGAAATCTCTCTTGGTTTACAAAGTTTCCCCCAGTCAGTTCTCACCTTGTCTTGCTTGTTTGTTTCTCCTATGATACTAGGATCCTGGCTGATACCATTTAGATGAACTAAACTTCCATATGCAGATTTCAGCCACAATGACTGTGATACTATAACACATGCCATTGTAAACTTGTAAAAAAAAAAATCAAAGTGACTACAACCAAATTCCAAGAAACCGATCCAGTTTACATGGAAACTTTGGCCTCAGCAAATGAAATTGCTTTACATCTCCATCTCCTCACAGTCTACCTCCTGGACACAGCCTATCAGCTACAGATGACAGAGAAATCGACCATGCCACCCACCCCACCCCCAGCTCTGATGAACAGCAGGTAGTTAAAATATTAAGTAAAAGAATGTTGAGGAGGGGTGTGAAGGGAAGGGGGGGTGGGATATGGAGCATAGCTACAGAAGCAGAAGTGCACACACTCATTTGGGTTGGAAAATAAGTGAAAGAAAACATCTCTTCAATGCTCTGGACAGAGACGCTTTCACAAGGGGACATTAGTCTTTGAGGAGGGGCCAAACGAACCCTTCAGGAGCTTGACAATGCTAGACCTTTGGCTCAGTGCAAAATCAAAGCTCCAGGCGGGGGGGAAATAGATTCCTGGCGAGGACCTGCTCTCCACCCTTCCCAGTGCATTGTTCACAGGAACTACCTCTACCCACCGACCCCACCCGGCACCACCAGGCAGTTGTTACTCTCCCCCAACCTGCCTCTGGCTCCAGCAGCTCCTCCCTGGCAGCAGTGGAGGCACAAAGATTTTTTTCCCCAACACTGGGGTGGTGGGTGACCACACAAGCGACGCTCCCCATGAGTCGGCAGCTTCCAGTTCTAGGAGGAAGAGTTGACGTTCCCAGAGGACATTATAGTTTCTGGGTTGTCCCCATCGTCCTTCTGCGGGTGAGAGGAGTTGTCCGACTTACTGCGGCTGAATTCCACGCCAGCGATGATGGGCCGCTTGAATTTGCCGGTGGCATCTCCTCTGGGGCACTTACAGCAGGACATGATCCGGATGAAGGCCCGGCGCATCTCCTTGTTGGTCAAAGTGTAAATGATGGGGTTGGTGCCGGAGTTCAGCACCGCCAGCACCAGGAAGTACTCGGCTTTGAAGAGGATGTCGCAGGTCTTCACCTTGCAGCCCACGTCCAGCAGGAGCAGGATGAAGAGGGGCGCCCAGCAGGCGATGAAGACGCTCAGGACGATAATCACCGTCTTGAGCAGAGCCAGCGACTTCTCTGAGCTGCGGCTGGCCTTGGAAATGTTCTTGCGGAAGGTCAGACGGCGGCTCCGAGTCCTGACCAAGGAGTAGATCCTGCAGTATAGGATGACAATGGACAGAAGGAGCCCGGTGAAGACTGTGGTGCAGAAGAGGATATAGTGCTTGTGGTAGAGGGGCAGCACCGTGGAGCAGCTGGGCAGCATGCCAATGCAGTTCCAGCCCATGATGGGCAGGCCACCCAGGATGAGGGAGATGATCCAACAAGCGCTGATCAGCAGGAAGGAGCGGGAGCTGTTGCTCTCATTGTGCAGTTTCATCTTCAGCATGGTGATATAGCGTTCAATGGCGATGGCTAGGAGGCTGAACACAGAGGCAGACAGAGCCACAAACATACTCCCTTCCCGCAGAAACCACTGGGCGGGGGTGAGCTTGTAGGTGTTGGCCCCTGAGAAAAGCAGGTTGAGTATGTAGGCCACTCCTGCCAACAGGTCTGAGAGGGCCAGGTTGCCGATAAAATAGTACATGGGTCGGTGGAATTTCTTGGTTTTCCAAATGGTCAGCAAAACAAAGATGTTCTCTAGGATGATAAAGCAGCAGATGAGAATGAACACCACTGAGGTCACTTTAATGCCGTTCTCCTTGTCTGCGCCTATATTCAGCTTTCCCGTGTAGTTGTAATGCCGGACGATGATGTCATAGTTGACATAGTCGGAGACAGAGCTACGATGAGTCTTGCCCAGCGGGATGCTGGTGGACACCATGGTGCGCAGTGTCCCCAGGAACAGGAGGTGGCGCTTCTCCAGCGACCGCTAGAGGGCGACGCGTAGAGAGCCTTCACTTGCTGTGAGGGTTGCTTCAATGAGAGAAATCCAGGCTTTTCCCGTATCTTTTTCTTGGCTGGAGAGGGCCTCGGAAACCGCAGCCTTAAACAAGTTACAGAGAGAGTCAGGGGAAAGCCACAACACACTGGCACAATTCATTCTAGCTAAGGCATTGCTCCAGTTTTGTTGATTTGTTTTAAGGAAACTTAGGGAGAGTGCAGGGAGAGGAATTTAAAAACAAACAAACACACAATCAAATTCTTATTTCCTGCAAAAAAAAAAATAGGAAGGGGAAAAAAGACGGGGAGAAAAAACAAAAACTTTATCCAAACTGAAAACTCCAACTTGACAAGACAAAAACTTTCCCTATGGTCAAATCCACTCAAGTAGAAATGGGAAAAGTGGAGAATCGAGCCCCATTGAACCCCACTCCCACCTTGTCATTGCCCCCCTAGCCCCACCCCGACAAGTTTGCAGTTGGGAGAGTCTCAGAAGCATTCACCGGCTCAGCGAGGGGGGTTGGGAGTGCGGCACACTACCAGCTCGCCTGCTAGGTGGAGGAGACCCAGCTGCCAATACAAGGGTGGAGCCACACACCTCTGCCCCACCGCCACCACCCAGCTAAAAGAGGCCAGACCCACTTAACTGCCATGCAAGAAATTAGATTGTCACGAAAATCACTGAAAGCCTAAGTCACTTTGGGGCTCTATTAATAACTCTCTGGGAGCAGGTGTGGTTAGGGTCGGAGGGCTCAGCGAGGTGTGGGCAGCCAAGCTCACTCTGGCCTTGTGGTAAACAAGAAAACTCAGTGCCTCCTGAAAGCAACAGCCTTTTCTTTCTTCTTTTTCTTGCAAGCCAGTGCAAGAACACATCGAGGTACCCAGTGAAAACCATTCATGAGCTATTGCAATAAATCCCAGAACTTTCCTATACTCATGGATTGCATAAAAAGTATTTTTAGTTACTATGGGTATAGCCAACACACAAAAAGAAGTCACAATACTTAGGATAACAATCCCTGTCACTACATTCCTAATGCAAGTGCTAAACTGCTCTGCAGAAACTCACATAAAAGGGCAACTGGCGAATTTACTGCCTTCCCCCAACACTTATTGCTTCTTTTCCATTGACCTTGACAGGGTGGAGGGAATGCAACGTGGCCCTTAGCAGAAGTCTATTTGTACCGTTAAGTGTTTCAAGGCAGCGTGGCAATGGCAGAAAAGTGGAGTACTAAAAGCGAGAGCGATCCCACCAATTCCTGGAACAGCAGAGGCTGCTCGCGCCCAGAAACTCCCCGTTTCCCCCATCTAATTCCACACCCTGCTCACTGGCAGTGCGAGTTTAAGCCCTTAACACCTCTGTCTCATATTCTTTGTCTATAGGATTTCCAAATATAAGCGCCTTCCCTCCCTCCACTCCAAGAGCAGCTTCCACTATCCCCCACCCCGTCAGTTCTACGATGGGGACTTGACCCTTTTCCAAACTTCATAAATCACAAGTGTCCAAGAGCCATCCGACCGCGTCAGGCTCCTTAGTAGCCCAGAGACGCATGTTTTCAGCGCCCAGAGATGGATGTTTTAAAAGTTTTTGTTTTGTTTCGTTCCGGCTTAACAATTCCCTTCTGACACTGAAGCCCTTGTGGCCGCGCAGTCCCCTAGCCAAGGTCCCCTACCTCGCTCAGGCGGGACGGAATTGCGCTCGCCGAGCTCCGGGTCTGCACTGCGCGCTCGTCATCTTGCTGCTGCGGGCGCCTGACAGCGTCGCGTTGTAAACTTACTCGGGTCGGGGTCCCCTCCCTCTTTAGGGCAACTCCATTGGCCAGCCCGCTCGCCGTGAGCGGAGCGTCCTGACGCTGGGTAGCTTCCTAAGAGGCGGGAAGATGTTAAATGCCTCAAACTCCCACGCCCTCCGCCCTCCGCCAGAGGTTGGGGGGCCCCAGGATCTCGGCTGCTGAGACTCACTGTCCAGGAAAGATCTGGAGCAGAAACAAATAAGAACCCTTCCCCACCCCCAGGCAACCGAAAAAAAAAGAGAAAGACAGAGAGGGTGGAGCCTGGTGCCCCCTGGACTCCAATGTATAAATCACGGCCGGCGCCCAGCCGTCGGCCGCTCGGGGCAGTGGAGACCGCTCTCTCCAGCCTTAGGAAAGAGAGGAGGTGGGGAGCCTTTGGGAAACTTTCTCCTGAAAAGTCTTCGTGGGGGCAGAGGGCCGCCCGGCGTCCCGCAGCGCATCTCCCTGGTCCCCTGCCCCGCAGCCCTTGGGGGATCAGGGTCCTGAGATTGTGACCGGGCGCCCCGGGGCCGCTTCTGCTCAGGCAGGGGACGCAGAAGCCCTGCGGTTCTCGGAGGGAAAGGCTGAGAAGGAGCTGCAGGAGGTTTGCCGGAGGCGAGCAGCCTAAGTGGGAGAATAGCTGGAGAGGTTTCTCCACTTCTCCCCACCTCCACCCCCACCCCCATGCCGCTGCTGCCTCGAAACTGCGATCTGAGGGTCAGAAAGTGACTTTCCTCCGGGGCACGGGGAAATGGACCAGCGCCGGGAGAGGTGCTGGGCGGGAGTTTCCCTCCCTCAGCTGGGCGCCAAGTCAGGCAGTTGCCCCAGATTCTGGCCCCTGGTGAGACGCCTTTGAGGAGGTGGGCAGTTGCTAGGTCCTGAGAGATGTTTGAAAGCTTGTGCAGCTCAGGAAGTTCCAAAGGGGAAGAACCATGGGGCTCAGCCCAGCTGGGCGTGAGCCTTTTTCTTCCTTTCTACTAGGGAGGTTCCCCCAAACTTTAATACTCAAAACTCCTCCACTCTTTCCTTTCGCTTCGATGCTACTTCAGAATGTGAGAACGAGAGGTGGCCTTGGTCAACTCCCCTCGAGTGACAAGACAAGCTCAAACCACTTCTGCCTTGCCTTACTGGGCAAAGACGTTTCCACCGAGAGTGTCTGGTCACACCGGGTTTCTATCCCTTGCAGATGTGAACGCAAAACTTCGTTGTGCAGTTTCAATTGACACACACCCTGTACCTGAATGACTCAGAAGGAGGCTGCATGAATAAACAGACCCCTGACTTCTGGGATCTTATGAGTTTGCAAAAGAAAAAAAATTAAGCGTCAGTTAATTCACAGCTGTCTGAAAGTCCTCATCAACGACCCACAAATTCAACAACAGTACAACAGTACAGCGCATTCAACATGCACGTGCATACAACCTAGAAACAAAGATCATGGACCTCTAGACTCTAGGATAAACTCTGATTGGGTTTAAGGACTTAATTCATTTTAAAGGGGAGATACTGTCAAACCCCACCCCACCCACTAATTTATGAGTTCTTTAAAGGGAAATAAATGAAAGTGAATTGCACACTTTATCAGGCAATGATAGCTTATCTAATTTAACACTACTACTCTGAAGCAGACGCTGTTGGTCATTTTATTGATTAAGGGAAATGTCACTCACACAGCTTAAATCTCTAGCTATCCCAGCTAATGTGTGGCAGAGCTGGGTTCCAAAACTTAAATACTGCAGATGCCATGGCTCCCAATCACACTCCTTGAGTCAATAAACAGGGAATTGAAAAGTATGTTCCTGAAGGGAAACAAACCTCTAGCTATAAAGTTTTAAATTTTTACTAATTTCTTGACAATATATGTCTACAAAATGTATACAAAGATATGCTAATGAATGTCCTTTTAAAAAACACTTATTTCCTGACTATGCAAGTCCAAAATGCTTGCATGTAAAACTTGCAACAAAAGTATACAAATGAATGTCCTTTTTATTTACCATGAAGCATATTCTCTTTGCTGAAATGTTTTACTACATGTTATTTTTATTTTGATCACATTTTTTATTATTAAGACTTTATTATTATTTTTTAGAGCAGCTTTAGGTTTACAGTAAAATTGACTGGAAGGTACAGAGATTTCCAATATATCTTGTGCTCCCACACGTGAATAGCCACCCCTATTATCAACATCACTCATTAGAGGGTTACATTTGTTACATACAATTGATGAACCTACATTATCACATCATTATCATCCACAGTCTATAGTTTACCTTAGGATTCACTCTTGGTGTTGTACATTCTATGGATTTGAACAAATGTACAATGACAGGTATTCAGCATTATGGCATCATGCAGAATATTGTCACTGCCCTAAAAATATTCTGTGTTCTGCCTACTTATCTATCCCACTCCCATGAGTGTCTTATTTAAAACCACTGATTTCTTGATTATATACGCGTATGTATATAAAGTGTATACAAAAGTAGACTAGTAAATTTTCATAAAACCTCTCATTGTCTACCTATAATATTTAAAGTAAGGTTGTACTTTTAATATTTGTGTACTAGTTTCTAAGTGTTACACATATTAACTCATTTAATCATTACAATGACCTTACCAGTTAGGTATTATTCTTATCCCAATTTTACAAACAAGGAAACTGAGTCCCAGACATATTAAGTAGCTTGGTTAATGTGGGCTATGACCATAGACAGGCTACAGATTCTTAACCACTATTCCAAACCACCACGTTAAACCTCAAACATGTCAAAGAACTATGCCAGGTAAGTCAGTGCTTTTCTTTTTTTTTTTTTTAAATTTTTTTATTGTTAGTTTCAGGTGTACAGAACAATGCAATAGTTATTCTTTTCACCCTCACAAAGTAACAAGTCAGTCCTTTTCTTATGATACTGTTGGGGAGAACAACACTTAATATTGATCCAATGTTTCAAAGAGCTCAAATACTTTGCAGATGATTATTTAGTAATACTCATCCTTCACGCACACCTATGAGATACAAAATGTAGGTGACCACTCAGGCAAAATTAGAAAGGAGGCAAAGCTATTTGTGGAGATGGTTTCCCTACCAATTCCAAATCTCTGGGTCCCACCCATCTCTTCCCATCACTCTCAGGAGCAGCCCTAAGAATTGTATCCTCAATTTATCTCCTGGCTGCTAGCCCAGCTCCCTTTCCACCGCTGCCTGGGGCCAAACCCAGCGTTCCTACCTTACTTCCCATGGCATTGAGATTACCAAACCACATTGAGATCGCTCCATTCCAAATTTCTGATTTCAAAGCAGCTTTGCTGTTCTTTGGTGTCTCTGCATGTTGTTCTTTGCATGCTTTGATGTCTCTCTAAGGGTTGCCAGAGAAAATACCATATAATATTTGGGACTTATACTAATATATATATATACCGGGGGTGCCACAAAAAAATGTATACAAGCGGACACTTGGGTCAACGTCGCTCAAGCAGTAGTTCGCTGTAATCAGAAGTGTCTGGATGCTGATGGGAACCCCTTTGAGCACCTCTTGTAATTGCAGAAGTCAAACGTGACTTGTATTCATCTTTGTCATCAATATATATTGAGTATTACAATTTTAATCATTTCTCTTTCTTAAAATGTGTATACATTTTTTGCACCATATATATACATATATATATACATATATATATATACATATATGTATATATATATATATTTGTTGTTTATCTGCAATTTAAATTTAACTGCATGAGCTGTATTTTTATTTGCTAAATCTGGTAACCCTATTCTTTTTCTTAAATGCCCTAGTCACGTTCCAACTTTGTCTCCTCCCCTCAACCCCCTGCAAAGAGCCAACACTCCCCTTACTCACTTATTCATAGGAGAATAACAAGCCTCTTACTTCATGGAGAAACCATGATCACTTCTTTAATTTTCCTCCTCTCCAAGTTCTAGCTTAATAACAACTTCACCCACCCTTACCTCCTTCCACAGCTTTACTCCTTTCAGGGCGAACTCTTGTACATATCACCATGCTACTCCCCCAAATTTTCTAAGGCTCAGCTCAATTATTCCCTCTCTGTTCTAGTTTCAATTCTTGGCCTCTTGTGACTCTTCACCATCAACTCACATTACTATCTTGGTGCTTCCTCTGTTAAAAACTCACTGTCTTCCATCTATACTAGGTCCCAATATAAATATCTCTTCTTCTGTTTGCCAACATTCAAAACTATGTAGTGGAACATGTCAGACTTTGGTTCAGCCTTAAAACTGCCAGTTTCCAGCTGTGTGACTTTGAGCTTTGAGCAAGTTCTTTGAATTTCCTTGAGCCTTAGTTTCCTCATCTCTAAAACAGTATAATGATATTTCTCTCTTTAGTCATTGGGAGGAATAAAGAGCTTCATATGTACAAAGAACCCTCCAGAGCAGCGGTTCTCAACCTGTGGGGCACGACCCCTTTGGGGGTCGAATGATCCTTTCACAGGGGTCGCCTAAGACCATCGGAAAACAAAAGGATATTTACATTATGATTCATAACAGTAGCAAAATTACAGTTATAGAGTAGCAACGAAAATAATTTTATGGTTGGGGGTCACCACAACATGAGGAACTGGATTAAGGGGTCACGGCATTAGGAAGGTTGAGAACTGCTGCTCTAAAACATAGAGTAAACGCTTCACCCTCCCACTACCTCTATCTCTAACTGTATTGTACTCATTGCTTCCAATATCTCACTTTCTCTTTACTCCCTTTTTGATTTTCAAATATAAGACACTCACAAAAGAGGACTACCAGAACTGCTTCAGAAAGTGGCAAGAATGAAGGGATAAGTGTGCGTGAAGCGAGGCGGAGTATTTTGAGGGGGATTAATGGCAATGTGTCTTTTACTGTAATAAAGTTTTTTATTTAAATATTCATCATATTTTGTGATCACTCCTTGTATGTGTGTAAGATTTACAGTTACTTCCTATTATTACTAGACATCCTGCTAGGACCCCTGACCGTCTGTATCTTTAGGTTTTTTTCTTTTGAGGTACTCATTTATCCAGAGGAAACAATCTTCCACTCTCCTTCCCAGAAGGTTTAAACTTGTTTGTAGGAGAAGGGAGAATAAAGCTGGGGTATGTCACCATTTAGCATATAGCGTTCCACTTAACTCTCCCATTTTGACAGGGGTGTTCCACAGTCAAAGTCATTTTGTTCACTCTCTCTATGCCAAGTCTTCTGCCCTGATGGAGGAAAAACAGTCATTCTGGTTGTGCAGGGCTAGGAGAAGTCATGGCCATGTAGGGCAGAATGAGGGTTTAAGAATGAATCCAACTGCCACTAAAGCAGACTTTCTGTTCTCATCTTAACTTTCAATCCTACTAAAATCTCCAATTTTGGGGCTTTTCTGGGGTTCTATAGAGTAACTCAGTTTGTCTCTGGGTTTTCCCCATTACAAGCTCAGTTTTCAGTTTTCGAAATTGTGCTAAGTAAATTAACATTCACCCCTCTGCTTATAAGTCTCCAAAATTGTGTTGCTGTCTTCTCTTGCTTTTCTTTCTCTTTGTTTGTTTATGCAAACAAAAAAATCCCTTTACTAGTATGTCAGTGAAGTGTAGGAGTGGAAGGAAGTGAAAGTGTTCAATTTACCATGTTTGAACTGAGGTCATTTTCATTTTCTCTTAGATCCATTCAGTCTGGCATCTGCAGACTCAGATGAGTCCCTAACTAAGATAGCCAGAGGCTCGGCATGAACCTCATTTAGGGACTTTCTGTAACATTTGACACTGCTGATTTCCCACCCTCTTGTTGAAATTCTTCTCCCTGCTCTTCTGTAGCAGTGCTGTCTCTCATTCTCTTCTGACTCAGACTGCTTTTTCTCAGTATTCTTAACTGGCTTCTCTTTTTCTATATTATCCTAAATATCCTTTTATACATAGGAAATAATTATATAGCCTGTATTATGTGTCTGGCACTGTACTAAATAAGTATTTTGTACGTAATACATTTATCTCCTCAACAGCTCTACAAGTGAGGTACTATTAAATAATCCATTTTACAGATGAAGAAATGGAGGTACAGAAAGCTTAAATATCTTATCCAAAGTCCCAGCTTTTCCTCACTGTGCATATTGCCTCTTCAAATGCTATCTCCTCATTCTTCCCTCTTATCTGTTCATACTTTCTTGCTTTTCTCATCTACTTCTAGGGCTTTCTCTAGCACATATATGCAGATAACTCTGCACTGTACGTCTCTAGTCCCACCTTTTTCTTAAGCTTCAAACTCAATTCCCAAATATACATTGGAAACTTCCACTTGCATGTCTTACACATACCTCAAGATCAAAATATCTAAAGCCAAACATGTCATTTTCACCATTCTCTTCTCAGACCAACTCAGCCTTCTCTCTGTTATGCCTATCAGTTAATAGCATCAGCATTCACATCATCAGACAAGCGAAAACACTCAGATTCCATTCTGATCTCCCCCTCTCTTTCCCTGCCAAGACTGTTCCTTGAAGGGCCTCTGAATTCAGTTTCTCATCATCCTTCCAGTCATTGTTAGGTTCTTACCTCCTACTTTGTTACAGCTTCCTCCTAACTGCTCTCAGCTTTATTCATCCACACAACTATCTATAGGTCATCTCCATGGGAGGGAAGGGGTTCCTTACATTACAAAAGAATAACAGGATCCCTTAAAGAAACATCTCATGTATATGTTTACAGAGCAATAAACACATACCAGGAGAAACTAAAAGCTGTAATTTCCAAACCATTGATGATTAAGTACCAATCCGAAACTAAGATAAAGCAATTCTGAAATTATAATAGAGATAAAAATGGATGTTTGTTTATTTATTCAACAGTTATTTACTGAGCACTTACTATGAATCAGCAGACATTCTTCTAGGCCTGGGTTGCAGCCTTGAAGGATACAGATAAAGTCCCTTAAGCCATGGAGTTTATATTCCTGTAGAAAAGACAAATGGTAAAGAAATAAACAAATAGTACGTAAGAAAATATCAGAAAGCATTGAGTACAATGCTTTACATTAACACAGGATGATGTGACTTGAATTGTTCCTCTGGGTGGCCAGGGTTGGCTTCTCTGAGAGGGTGGCATTGGATACTAGTGCATCATGGCAAGCTCAGGGCTCTCTGCCACGGCATCTGGAAACCCAGAGAAGGACCCCGCTCTGCTCTGAGAGGCAACAAGCAGAGTGGAGGCAGCCACCCTGGGGGCTCTATCCAGGGGACTCACTCAGTCACCTAAGGCAATATTCACCCCTCTCTGGGCTTCTAAGATCCTTTCCATCCCTAGCAGGCCATTACTTGCCTTCTAAGTCCTGTTTCTTGACAAAAAGCTACCACTGCTGCCTCTTTTCTTCCAACTTAAAAGACTTCAACTGCAAGGCCAGGGGTAGAGGCCTGACTGGGCCTCTGTCTGTCTATCATGGAACCTTGCTTGGCCAGTGGTGGGGAAAACCCCATGCAGCCAGAGCATAGAATGGTAGATGCCTGAGAGCAGCTCTCGGCAAACACATGACTAGTGGGTCCCTTAGCTTTACCAGGCTTGAAGGTCAATGGAACCCCAGAGTAGTCACTCTAACATTCAATAAAAACACCTTCTCCTGAGGGAAATTTCATAAGTAATCTCTGCCCAATGTGGCATTACACTTACATAAAGGAACACATTAGCAACATCTAAGTATTCAAGATGAATTTTTTTAAAATGATGACAGGGGAATATATCTATATTTATATTTTATATATGTTATACATAAATTTGCAATACAAAAAATATCAGAAGGGATTTTGCTTCATACAAAAGAAATCAAAATTGTCATCTCTGAAATTTCACTCAATAGATGACCTTTCTCTCACTTCTCCAGCTATTTTGGAAACAGACTGAAGACAGATTCTCCAATAAGTTTTATGTCATGTAGACTTGCTCTTTTTGAAGTTTCCAAACTCGTCTTATAGATTTGAAATTAAGTGTCTTTTACATTTACATTATCTCATGTCATTTTCATAAGTCTCAAAATGATCCAGTGTTCGCACAAATTGCAGGGGTAACTAAGAGCACTCTGGGCTGTAGTTTTCTCTCCCAAGTGTGCTTTTCTGAGACGCAACATGAAGAGACCACCTTGCTTCACATCCCTGGCAGACCAGGCCATGGTGAGAAAAAACAGTGATTGTTGTCACACTGATGTGTTTAAGGAGATTGAACTGAGTTGTGCATACATAAAAAAGAATTTTAGTTCTGGTCAAGATGGCGGAATAGGTAAATGCTGTGCTCACCTCCTCTCAGGACCACATCAATTACAACTAAACCACAGAACCACCATTATTGAGAATCACCTGAAGTCTAGCTGAACCAAAGTCTTACAACCACAGGCATATAGAAGAAGTCACCTCAAAACCGGTAGGAGTGACAGAGACATGGAACTGGTAGAAGGGGCTGGTCCCACACCTGTGTGTGACCATTAAACATAAAACCGGGAGGGATATTTCGGCTGCAGAGGTTGCTACCTGAAGAGAGGTGTCCAAACTCCTCCCCAGCCCAGGGTTTCCATGCTGGGGAGATAAGTCCCTATAATTTCAGGCTATGAAAACCAGCGGAGACTGTGGCTGAGTGAGATGAGGGCAGATGCAGTCCCAGGCACTCTTCTTAAAGGGCCTGCGCATGGACTTATTTGCTGACGGACTCACTCGCTCTGAGCTCTAGCACTGGAGCAGCAGCTCAAAAAGCACCAGCGGCATACAGGGAGGAACTGGGTTGTCTAGCTTCACAGTGAGAATGGGAGGGGCAGATTTCTCCTGCACAGAGGAACTGGTGAAAGCCATTGTTTCTTTGTTGAGCCCTCCCCCTCCCTGCATACAAATGCGGGCAGGCGCCATATCTGAGTGTCCATCAAACTGACCGACCACCTTTGGTCTGCCCTGTCCTAATGATTCCCTGAGACCACGCTCCACCCAACTTTTGGGCACAACCAAGCTCCTTCCAGCGGCTTTTCCATATAAACGGCCTGTCTTGGCTTATGCTGCAGACATTTGTAAAATATCTCAAAGGTTCACAAACCCAAAGTAGCAGCATCTGGCTTCAGCGTGTCCCTTACCTCTGGCTGAGCAGCCCTCAGTCTGGCACTAGCGACAGCCGGCCTTGGTTCAAGGCTGGGCCACTCAAGGCCTCCAAGCACAGCATGGGGGTCAGCCATCTCTGGATTGCTATGTGGATCATACTAGGTGGCCTCAGGCAGGACGCAAACTGCAGCTGAACTTAGCTCAAAGTGGGTCCCTTCCCAGGAGGCCCCAAGACTGGCAGACCCAGTGGCCAGCTTTGGAGCAAGCCAGAGCATTACCTGGCCACCCCCAAAGATGACAGACCCAAAGGGCAGGCTGGACAGGCACCAGAGCCCTGCTAAAGTGAACCTTGCTCTATAGGATCAGTCCCTGCGCAATAGCTCCTCCACTGTAGTCACAGACAGTCCTCATAATCAATCAACCTGAGGGATAATCCCTCCCACTGATGTGCAAATAGCAATCAAGTCTTAACTACAACAGGAGGGCATACACAACCCATATACCTGGAGCACCTGGCTCTGGTAACTAGGGAAACTGCACCACTGAGTCCCACCGAACACCTACTACATAAGGCCAGTCTACTGAGACCAGGAGGCATAGCAGCCCTACCTAGAAACAAATACAGGGCAGCAGCCAAAATGGGGAGACAAAGAAACATTTCCCAAATAGAAGAAAAAAAACAAAGCTCCAGAAAGAGACTAAACAAAATCGATACAAGCAACCTACCACATGCAGAGTTCCAAACACTGGTTATAAGGATGCTCAATGATCTCAGGGAGAACTTCTACAAAGAGATAGGAAACATAAAAATGGAGATAGAAAACATAAAAATGAAACAGTTAGAAATAAAGAGTATAATAATTGAAGTGAATAATATATTAGAGAGAATCAACAGTAGATTAGATGAAGCCAAGGACTGAATCAGCAATTTAGAAGATAAGAGCATAAAACACCCAATCAGAACAGCAAAAAGAAAAAAGAATCCAAAACAAATGAGGATACCAACATCGAGCATACCAACATTCATATCATAGGAGTACCAGAAAGAGAAGAGAGGGAGCAAGGGACTGAGAAGAAATAATGACTGAAAACTTCCCTAAACTGGTGAAGGAAATAGATATACAAGCCCAGAAAGTGCAGAGAGTCCCAAACAAGATGAATCCAAAGAGGCCCACACTGAGACACATCATAAGTAAAATGCCAAAGGTTAAAGACAAAGAGATAACCTTAAAAGCAGCGAGAGAAAAGCAGTGAGTTACCTACAAGGGAGCTCCCATAAGTCTGTCAGCTGATTTCTCAACAGAAATTTTGCAGGCCAGAAGGGATTGGCAGGAAATATTCAAAGTGATGAAAAGTAATGACCTACAACCAAGATTACTCTACCCAGCAAAGCTATCATTTAGAATCGAAGGACAGATAAAGAGCATCCCAGACAAGGAAAAGATAAAAGTGTTCCTTATCACCAAAACAGGATTACAAGGAATGTTAAATAGACTTCTGTAAGGCAAGAAAAAGGATAAAAAAATATGAATAATAAAAAAGGCAATAACTACATATCTATTAACAATTACTTTCAATGTAAATGGATAAAATGCTCCAATCAAAATATAGGGAGGCTGAATGGATAAGAAAATGAGATCCTTACATATGCTGCCTACAAGAGATTCAGATCAAAAGACATGCAGAGACTGAAACTAAAAGGATGGGAAAAAGGTATTTCATGAAAATGGAAAGAAACAAACAAAAGCTGTGGGAGTAATACTTATACCAGACAAAATAAACTTTAAAACAAAGCCTATAACAAGTGACAAAGAAGGACCCAGTAATCCCACTTCTGGGTAATTATCTAAAGAAATCCAAAACACTACTTTGAGGGAATGTGTTCATTACAGCATTGTTTACAATGGCCAAGATGTAGAGGCAGCCTGGGTGTCTGTCAATGGATGAATGAATAAATAGGTGGTACATATTTACAATAGAATATTGTTCAGCCATAGAAGGGAATGAGTTCTTGCCATCTGCTGAGTCATGGATGGACCTAAAGAATATTGTGCTGAGTGAAGTATATCAGATAGTGAGAGACAGGTGCAATATCATTTTGCTATTATGTGGAATTTAAAGAACAGAATAAAAAACAAATAAACAAACAAACTCAGAGATACAGAGAACATTTTGATGGGTGCCAGATTAGAGGATGGTTGGGTTGAGTAGAAAAGGGGAAGGGATTAATAAATACAAATTTATTGTTACACAGTATCATGGGGATGTAAGGTATAGCATAAGGAATATAGTCAATAATATTGTAATAACTATGTACTGTGTCAGGTGGGTACAAGATTTATCAGGGTGATACATGGGAGGGGGATTGTAGACTGGATGAAGAAGGTGAAGACATTAAGAAGTACAAATTGGTAGTTACAAAATGGTCACAGCATATTAAGTAATGCATAGGGAACAGAGTCAATAATAAGGTAATAACTATGTATAGTGCCAGATGGCTACTAGATTAATCAGGGGGATCACTTCTTAAATTATATAAATGTCTAACCACTATGCTATGCACCTAAAATTAATACAAAATAATATTGAATGTCAACTGTAACTGAAAATTAGAAAAGGTTGGGGCAAAGGCAAAGGGGAAGAAGAGGTTCAAATTTCCAGGTATAAAACAAATAGTCATGGGATGTAACATATAGCGTAGGGAATATAGTCAATAATATTGTGACAGTTTGGTACAGTGTCAGATGGTTGCTGGACTTATCATGGTGATCAGTACTTTAGGTATATAAATGTTGAATAACTATTGTATACACTTGAAACCAATATAATATTGTATATTGGCTATATTTTAATAAAAATATTTTTTAAAACAGGAAAATACTATTTA